CTGATTTAGATGACAAGCAAAGTCCAGCATTTTTGAAACACTGTTTATGCCAAGTGCATCAGTCCTCAAATAAATCTGTTGTTCATAAAACCTTTGGCTTCAGAGACTACTGCCAAAATACACATATTTTCCTGGACCAGTGTTGTCTTAGAACCACGGGCTGAAAAAGGAAAAAGTTCTCATCCCATCTAATTTCAGGATCCTGCCAGAGGCACCTAATCAAGGCATATCAATGCCCAAGGCTTCCTTTGCAATAACAGAGACACAGAGCTGGATTTTTCAGGGCATCAGTTGCTCTCAGTCATGCAAAGGCCATGCCCATCCCAAACACCACTGTTTGCAGGAGAAAGTGGTCTGTATTACCTTTCCTCTGTGTTCCTTGGCATCAAGTCTTCGCAGCAATTTCATGCGCTCTGCAGCTGCCAATGTATACGCCCTCATACCTTTAGCTGCATAAATATGTAGAATTCTAAGACAGTAAATAAAGACACTGATCACTGCTTGGCCATGAACCACCCTGGTAGCAAACAGTTTTACAGGGTAGCATAGCCACTTTGGGGTTTTATACCCAGTGTTCCACAAAACCATGCCGTAAGCCCCAAAGGGCTTGACCTTGAATGCACCCACTCCCATGGAAAGGGCTTCCTACCTCAAAATAACTGCAGCCTTCAAGAGCCCTCAGCAATCCTGAGCTTTGACATGCTGTCTCCTTTCCGCTTCAGCACTTTCTTTCAGGTGAGATTTGCCCTTGTACTGGAAGGTATCTAAGTCCTCCACAAAACCTAGCGTTGGGGCCCAGCGTACTATATCAGATGCATGTATCACTTGTTGGGGTGATAGGTCCTTATTTACATTAGTGATATCTCACCATCCAGGGTAACAAACAGCCTCTCCTAAACAGTATATTTGTAAACAGGTGGTGAAACTCTACTTCTTTGTCAAGACTGCTGGTGAGAGGGACCGAGTCCTTGTCTTGTGCATAAGACAGAGTTGTCACAACCCATAGCAGTTATGGGCTTGCTGGTGACATGACCCTGAGCAACAGGGAGAACACTTCACTGCTTCACTTTGGTCGCCTGGCTCTATGGCTGGACCTGGAGAGAATTACACAGAGCTACTAGCCACTTCCATTCCCCCAGATCCTATTTGCAAGGGTGCCAGGCATGCACAGGTAGCTTTGCACTTCACCTTCGAACAGGAGGAGACCATCTTACAGGCAGTACAAGCCCTTGGGTTTGTTTTGGTCCAGATAGCATCATTTGATGCTTTTTAGTCAGAAGGTGGTAGGCAGTGGTCTCTTTCCTCAGGTAATTTTGCACCCCAGAGTCACACCTTGGAATTTCAGGAAGTAGAAATCCAACTTTATGCTAGTCTGATTTTCAAACGAGCTCAGCATTAGCTGCGGCTGCACACCCACACATCCCCAGGGATGACAATAGAGAAGAACTGTGACTGAACTAACATCTGAACTGCAGGAGTGCTTTTGTGAGTAAGGCCTTCGGGCCATATTTGGACCATGGAGTTCCTCCTTAGTCTGCCTTGATGTGCAAAATTAGCAGAAAATCTAACAGCTAATCTGTGGTTCCAGCCTGTACATATGTTATTGAAGTAATTGATTGCTAAACCAATGCTGGGTTACCCTTTTGGATAGGAAATAAAACACTCTAGGCATATGAAAGTTACTGTAGATCTTTATTGAAGATTTAGTCTTTTTCTAACCAGAACAACCCAGAAAGAAATTCTGAAACAGTTCATTATTGTTTTATATTCACACACAGAATTTACATACATTGGAATGAAAGAAATTTAAAAGCAATCTTAGCAACCACAGGCTTGATTCACAACTGCATTATCCCAGTTTTACCTACCATTGTGCTTATAAAACTGGAGTAAGCAGTGGTGAACTAAGCTCCTTCTAATTAATTTCTTTGCTGGGTTTTTCTGCAAATATAAGCCACTCATTTCAATATACCTGAACTACTGCTAATTTCAAACAACTTTAGAATCACTTACATTGCTTATGTCTTCCGGATTTGTTAATATTAAATAACAAGATATGCTTTGAACGTCCTCAAGACTTTCAACCTGAGCTTGCAAACCTCACTCAGGCATAAACTGTAAGGTCGCTTGAAATATTGCCTGGGTGGCAACTGGAGTGCTGGACACCAGGTAATAAACAGTGCAATAAATTATTTTGCAGTTAGTCTTGCAAATAATAAAATCTCCTAAGGATCCTGGGCTGTAGAAAGCAGAAAAACCCAGAGAAATTTTGTTCACCAGCCAAGAGTCCCTTGCAGATTAAGAAAACAATAAACAGAGTTAGAAGGGGATATATGTCCTGCAAATGTATTTGCCTGTGGCATGGCACTCCTCAACACCAACAATAATATTTACAGTTACATCAGAGGAAAAAACTAAAGCTACTCATTCTCCAGGAAAGCAAATCAGAAAGCTATAAAGAAAATGTGTGCACCTGTGGGCCTGGGAGACTACAGCACAGAGAAACTTTCCATAGCAGTAAGGCACAAGAGAGGTCACTAAGGTTCCCTGGCTCAGCATGACATCACCAACTTTGCACTCAAATGCTACAGAACAAATGAAAGTATTGCCAGCTAATAGTAATGCCATGAATTCCTTGTTAAGTCTGAAGTCCAGATTTTGAAAGACCCTGTCTTCTCAATGATGATCTGATACTGGGCCAGTCTTGAAATCCTGACTCAGGCAAAACTCCCAGTGACTTCAGTGAGACCAGGATCCGTCCATTGGTAGAACAGGCAGCATTACCAGCCAGCTGCAAAATCAGCCCCCCCACCTCGAATGTGGCTATTTTAGAGTCCAAAAACATTCTGCAGCTGAAAAGACCGTGACTCCAAAACACTGTCCCACACTTACACATCTGTTTTCCAGCAGCAACCAAGGTGACACCTCCAAGTTACAGCTTTGTGTGAACTCAAATGTTTCATCTAGGCTGCTTTGTGTTGCTCCGTAAATAGGGATGTCTAACTGCACTGGTGTTTAGTTCAGCTGTATTGACTTTTTTTGTCTTCGCACTAATGCGCCTGCCTGCACCAGTAGAACAAAACTACACTTTACCTTTTCTTATTTTTCAAAGGAGCAGTTCAATTTAGAAAAGAAAAATGTCAGTTTAGGTCCCAAAAATGTTTTCTAGTGGCCTAGATCAAGTAGAGGTTCCTCCACAGGCAGGGCAAAGACACGTACACAGGGCATTCACACTGAGCTTTAGAAAGCAGTCCTATTGAACTAGGTCCTGCCAATATTTGGAGGCAAGTGTACCCTCACCAAATGCTACAGTTGGCCACAGCTAGACTATAGTATGTCAATATGAGACGATGCCCCGCGTCTGAGGATGAAAGTCACCTCGTGCTGAGGCTGGGCACAAGAACTATGCAGTATCAAAAGCCTGCCTGGGAGAGGTAGCAGGAACTGTAACAGCAGAGAAATCTTGTGCTAGGCCTCAGGACAAAGCAAGTTTCACACAACACGCAAGTCATGGTGTGCTAGAGGTGGACACCAAAATCACAAGTTCCCACCCCACCCCCCAGCCTGCTTTTCCTCTGTACTCAAAACGCCCTGTGGTGCCAGGTGGAGTATTGAGTAGGCGAGGATCAGGCCCCAGCTATGCAACTTAAAGCCCTTCAACAGAGAGAGCATGGTTTAAAACATACGTATCATTGTCTTCATCTTCTAGAAGCAGCTTCTCAATGGGCAGTGTGCCAATGACTCGTCTGGCATCCTCCAGCTCCTGGGGGGCTGGTTCAGGAATGGAGATTGGCAAGGGTACAAACTGCGGCCCCGAAAGCGTGGAAGAAGCTGGCTGGTACTGCAAAGTGGAGGCTGGCAGTGCAGAGAGGGGCTGTGCCCATGGGAAGTATGTGAGAGGCGACTGCTGGTCTGTCACCTCGAGCTGAGGCACTACAGCAGGCGTGGTGCTTCGGGGCTGTTAAAATAGAATTAAAACAAAATAAAACAATTGGCCAGGTGGTGCCAGGGAAGGACACAATACAACAGACCAAGGATGCTCTGTCTCACTTTTAACATCCCTTTTCCTGTCTCTCTGGGTAAAGTGTTATACTGAGTGTGACACTTTTCCCACGCTGGCTCCCATGAGAGCGGTGGCTGTGGGTGTCCCAGGTGCTTGCTGCTCACACTCATGTCAAGTTCCCTCTAGCTTTCTGTTCCCACTCCTACCCTCACTGTAAGCCCATGAGACAGTTACACCCTGTGCTGAAATCTGCTGCCTTTGACAGTCCCTCTTGCAAGTTGAACGCACGGGCAAAACTTTGCTGCCACAAGGCTGAAGGCAGTTTATTCTGGTCTCTGCAATAGTCCATCCTGACCGGCCCCTGTCAGCCAAGGCAGAGCCACATTTGAAACGTTAGTCCTTCCTCACCAGTGAAGGCTACAGGCCACAGGCACTGGCCTTTGCTGATTTGGTGTGTCAGTTTCAGCAACTGAACTGAAACATTAAAAGGAAAATAAGCTGCTTGATTTCAACCGAAACAGAATTCTCAGCCCTTTTGTAAGGAAGAACTAATCATCTTGGGGCAACCAAACAGATTTTGTTCAGGCTGAACCCAAATATTTTACTATTTTGGCCTTGCTCTTTGTTCTTTAAATAGCAGGTTTTGACAAATGTGTTGCCAGGTCATTCCTCCTGCATCACCTGGTGGATGTGTCTCCTGGAATTCCATTTGCCTTTTTTTTTTAAGTTTGGAATTAAATAGTGAAGAATCTCCTGGATACTGCTCAGATCTCTGGTGGGACTGTGTCCTGAGTACTCGTCCAGACAACTGCATTTATTGCATATAACGTGCATCCACTCACTGAATTACTTTAATTCTACTTCTTCGGGTATTCCAGATCCAAGCTAAAGAACAGCTCCTCAAGTTGGAAGTGATGACAACAGTAAATGTAACAATCCCCATTATTACCCTTGAACTGCAAAAGGTATTCTCCTGCTGTAAATAACTGTTCACAGACTTGAACAAACTCAGAGCAATGGCAGCCCTGCTGCTGACTTGATGAGAGATGACTCATTTCCCAGGACAACAGCAAAGAACAGTATATGTGTTAATAATGTGGAAAGTCTGGAGGAGTGCAGAGAGCTGGGGAAACGGCAGTGAAATATGTCTGATTTCAGTACAACTGCAGTTTTTCATCCTGCTCAAACCATACTAATGTCCAGCACAGTATAAACAGGGCCAGTGCCAGAACAACTACGTGGCACGGATGCAAAGACACACAACATTTTAGTAACTGAATAAATTATACTAATTACATCTGTCACTCCCCATGGCTCTTTCCACGTGAAGAAGTTGGGGATTTTGCTGTCATTTATAACTACGTATTTTTGACTTACTGCAAAATTGGTGATCAGCGGTTGAGAAGTATAAGTCAAAACAGATGAAGGTCCAACCAGTGTATAACTGGGACACATAGGCTGAACATACATATCTGCTGTGTATGGACAGCTGACTGCTTCATGTGACACATAATCAGGGTAAGTGGTCCACTGAGTTAAAGGCTGTAGGGACGTGGGAGAGGGCTGGGAGATCCAGCTGGAACCGAGTGCTCCTTCGTCTGTGACAGGCAAAGCAGAGGCAGCAACATCCATATCAATGCAAGGCTGGCCTGAAAAACAGGAGAGGATTAAAGCCCAGTTCAGCATAGCCTTCCCTGCAGCAGGGCTGACAAATGCTTAGAAAGTCAGGGAAACATTACCCATTGGTGAGTAGGAAGGAAGCGGCTGATGGGGCAAAACAACCTAGAAGAGAGAAGAAAAATATCCACGAATTAAGATCATAAGCATTACAATTCAATGTCCTCTAAGAAGCACTGAAGGACAGAGCATATTAGCTATTATCAGTTGATTATCAGCCACTGCATCAGTGTCAGTGCCTGAATGTTCCCACCTGCCTCTATAGAAGGGCCAGGAGAACTGAGCTTAGAAGGCAGTACACATAACCCCAACCCTGTTCATGGGCCTAGCCAAAGTCCACATGTCCCTTCAGCTCAAGGGGGCCTTAAACAGTATTTAAACCTTGTGCTGCAGAGGGAATTCCTCTTCAGACAGGACCCAGTCAATCTGCTTCCTCCTGGGAGTATAGGTAGAGGTAAGCTGAAACTAAGAAGCAGATAGCCAAGGACGGCTCTGGCTGATCTCTTTTTTTTTTTCTTTTTTTTTTTTTTTTTCCTCTCTCTCTCCTCTTGAATAAGCTGTTTAACTTCCAAGGCTCTTTCCTTTCCTAGGAATTAGATCCTGCCAAGTGCAAAGCATTTTCATCCTTCCATTAAGTCAATGGTGATTGAAGGTGCTCAGCATGCTAAAGGCACTCCACCTAAAGTAAAGATATGTTTAATGGCATCTCCGGGTAACATGAAGCTGCATTGCCTTCAAAATCCTTTAGAGATGCAAAGATTTCTTCCATTGCCAAAGTATTGCCAGCTGCTGCCAGGCCTGGTCAATCATTTAGCTACTGAGGAAGAATTTTCTGCCTGTGTTTGTTTTTTCTCCTACCGTTGTAGCTGCCGTTGCACTGGCATTATGAACGTTTCCCCTTTTCCTTTTCAATAGCTCCTTCACTGGCTCTTTGACACGGACACCTTGATAGGGGCGAGGCTGTGGCTGCTGTTCTGGAGCAGAAGCTGAGAAAAAAGAAGAAAATGAAGGTGACGTATTTTCCTTTCCTGCCATTTGCGCAGACCCAAAATCCCTATGGCAGCCTGCTTGTCTGCGGGCTGTGCTAGTCAACGATGCTGGAGTCTGGACTCAGACATTTTCTTCCTTAGCTAATGATGTCTTTTGGCCCATGCCTGATGTCAGATGGCACAGGCCCCCTCTCTACCTTCACTGTTTGGATGCTATGATCACATAGATGGATCATGAGGACAATCTAACCCGAAATGCTTGCAAATTACAAAGTATGCTTGCAATTCCCTCCAGTTGTTAAATAGCTACAGAAATACCCAGAAACTCACCCACCTTTTTCCCCACAAAAGAGCATTCATACATAATTCACAACTTGTGCAGGCCTCGCAGCCAGGATGGTTGGAAGCCAGAGCTGGTGGTTTCCCTGCTGCACTGGCAGGTGTTTTTATGGTCTGCAGAAGCCTTGTCCTACGGGGCACAGGGTGTAATGAATATGTTCTGCTGAACAAATAGGCATACTGCCCTAGACATTTATGAAAGCCAGAGAAGATGTAGTATAGGAAAAGGGATCGCTGCTGTTACGCAGGGGATAGTACTCCATTCCTAAAACAACAGCTATCAACAGACCTCCACCTCCCTGTAGGGATATATTTTATACACGTGTGGAACGAGAGCAGTAGTGGTGAGCCACACACTCTGAAGGAAGGTGAAAAAGGGCATCCATCTTCAAAACTTGCAAACTAAGTAGACAAGAAACAAAAACAGAGAAGCAACAAATGCTGGTTTTCCTCAAAATGTCTCTAGACGAAACCTTTCATTCTGCTGCCTTCAGTGAGGTTTCAGTGTGTTAATTGTGATGTTCTACTTCTTTTTCTCATTAATCCCTGAGCCTGAAATTCTGTTTTCTTTAGGCTTC